GACACACACCATGTCCACTTTAAGCTCGGTGTCTCAAGACAAGGACTCAGAACGAGGATGCAGGAGCTCATCTCCAAATTCTTGTGATTTTATCCAATATTAGAGGGACTGGGCTGACCAGTCATTTCCTAAACCTCCTCCCCTCCTCAAGGGAATGTTTGATTCTGGATATTGACTTTATATGACTCTGGATGCTGGTCATTGGATTGTAAATTTTTGTTTGCACTTCTAATTTCTCTTTTGGATTGTTTATTCCTGTAAGGAAAAAACGACATCTTATTCAACTTCATAGTTCCAGGATTACTGGGAAAGTGATTATCACATAGTAAGTGCATAATACTTGCTTAATAAATTAGTGAGTTAATTATTTCATAGGATTTTCTTACTTATCATGTAGTAGCATATTTGATGCTGAAGAGTCAATAAATAATAAAAATGATCAAAAATTATGTTTTTCCATCTATTACAGTAAAAAAAAAACCCAGCCATTTACTGGAATCAGGTTTTCAATAATATTTAAAGTGATGGGTATATAAATCATAAACAAAGATATGAGGCAGTTTCCCATGCATAGTAATGAAACAAATACCTAACAAGATAATCTTTGATTTATCAAGCTCTATTAAATATGGAGCTTGATAAGATGTAAATGGTCAATGTAGGCAAGGTTATGATGAAACCCATGGTCAGAAATAATGCTCATGGAAATTAAAATTTGTCAGACCACTCTAGGATCCCTCATGCTAATACGTAGCCTAAAGTTGTAGTTTGGGCCCTAAAACACTACTGGTTATTCATCTAAAGGAAACAAATCAATGTGTATTCTGCATTAATTTTTTTAAAAATAAACACAGAAAAATCACGATGAATGTAGGAGCCAAATAGGGAAGGAAATAGTTTAATAAATGTCTATTTACAGATATGAAAAGTCATTTATATTAACAACACAGAACAAATATTGATTGAATGCATACTATGTCCTGAATATCATGGAAGGTATTTTATGACTATTATTTAATTTAATCATCACAAATACATGAGGCAGTTACTACCATTGTCACTTTGTAGACACGGACACTGAGGATCAAAGTGATTAAGAAATGTTCACATGATCATAAAGCCAGTAAATTATTTTTCTGGTCACAAACTCAGACTTATGGTTCCCAAATCTAAACATTTTCAACTATAGCATAGAGTTTTGATTTTAAAAGTTATAATTACAATGACTTGGAAATTTAAAAGTGTTGAAAATATGGGTCATAAATTCTTAAGGGAAAAATATAAGTGCACACGTAAAGATAGAACATGTCATCCAGATCCTGGTTCCCAGGTACCCTCTTCCCAGAAAAGATAGCAGCAATACCTGCAGGAGTGGTTGTTTCTAGAGCCAAGTCTAGGAAAAGATAACATGAGCCTGGAGTATATTGTGCTGCTAGAATGCAAGAAGTGAAGAAAAGAAAAAAACAAGAGTGTGTCCAAACAGCAAAGAACACAGAAGCTAATTCAATGACGGTTCCATTAGCAAAGCTAGAACAATTTGGACAACAAAATAAATGATAGTAGCATTGGATAATAACCCAAAGGACAAAATAATTATCAATAAGTACATATTGGTACAACTAAATAAATAATCAATACATAGGGAAGAAAGAACGACTCTTCCTTACAGAATACTTTCAATTAGAATATGTTGAGAGAATAAGGAAAAGGAAAACTTGCTACCCAATACTTATATCTGACAAAATAGATTTTAAAACAAAACCTGTAACAAGAGACAAAGATGGGCACTACATAATGATAAAGGGAACAATCCAACAAAAAATATAACACTTGTAAATATCTATACACCCAACATAGCAGCACCTAAATATACAAAGCAATTATTAACAGACATAAAAGGAGAAACAGACAGTAACACAATAACAGTAGGAAACTTTAACACTCCACTTACACCAATGGATAGATCATCCAAACAGAAGATCAATAAGGAAACCCTGGCCTTAAATGACACATTAGACCAGATGGACATAGTACATATATATATAGAACATTCCATCTCAAAACCACAGAATGCACATTCTTTTCAAATGCACATGGAACATTCTCCAAGATTGATCACATATTAGGCCACAAAACAAGTCTCAATAAATTTAAGAAGATCAAAATAATACCATGCATCTTTTCTGACCACAAGTGTATGAAACTAGAAATCAACTACAGGAAGAAAACCAGAAAAGCCACAAAAATGTGGAGATTAAACAAAATGCTACTGAACAACAATTGGGTCAATGAAGAAATCAAAGGAGAAGTAAAAAAAATTCCTGGATACAAATGAAAATGAAAATACAACATGACAAAATCTGTGGGATAGAGCTAAAGTGGTTCTAAGAGGGAAGTTTATAGCAATACAGGCCTACCTCAACAAAGAAGAAAAATCCCAAATAGACAATCTAAAAGCACATCTAAAGGTACTGGAAAAGAACAACAAACAAAGCCCAAAATCAGCAGAAGGAAGAAAGTGATAAAAATTAGAGCAGAAATAAATGAAATAGACTAAAAAAATAGAAAAAATTAATGAAACCAAGAGTTGGTTCTTTGAAAAGATAAACAAAACTGACAAACCCTTAACTTAACTCACCAAGGAAAAGAGAGAGAAGGCTCAAATAAATAAAATTGGAAATGAAAGAGGAAAAATTACAAAAGACACCTCAGAAATACAAAAGATAATAAGAGAATACTATGAAAAGCTATATGCCAACAAATTGGATAATCAAGAAGAAATGGATAAATTCTTAGAAACATACAACCTTCCAAAACTGGACCAAGAAGAAGTAGAGAATTTGAATAAACCAATCACCAGTAAGGAGATTGAAACAGCAATCAAAAGCCTACCAAAAAGTAAAAATCCGGGACAGATGGCTTCCCTGGTGAATTCTACCAAACATTCAAAGAAGACAATAGCTATCCTTCTCAAACTCTTCTAAAAAATTGAAGAGGAGGGGAGGCTTCCTAACTCATTCAATGAAGCCAACATTATCCTGATACCAAAACCAGAAAAGAACAAAACAAAAAAGGAAAATTACAGGCCAATATCACTGATGAACATCGATGCAAAAATCCTCAACAAAATACTAGCAAATTGAATACAGTACGTTAAAAAGATCATACATCATGATCAAGTGAGTTTCATTCCAGGGATGCAGGGATGGTTCAACATCCACAAATCTATTAGCGTGATACACCACATTAACAAAATGAAGAATAAAACCACATGATCATCTCAATAGACGCAGAGAAAGCATTGGACAAGATACAGCATCCATTTATGATAAAAACTCTAAATAAAATAGGTATAGAAGGAAAAATACCTCAACACAATATAGCCATAATTGAAAAACCCACAGTAAACATCATTCTCACTGGAGAAAAACTGAAATCTATCCCTTTAAGAACAGGAACCAGAAAGGATGCCCACTGTCACCACTCTCATTTAGCATAGTATGGGAAGTCCTAGCCAGAGCAATCAGGCAAGAAAAAGAAATAAACGGGACTCACATTGGAAAAGAAGAAGTGAAACTGTCACTCTTTGCAGATGACATGATTTTATATCTAGAAAATCCTAAAGAATCCACTAAAAAACTTTTAGAAACAATAAAAGAATACAGTCAAGTCACGGGATACGAAATCAACATACAAAAATTGGTTGTGTTTCTATACACTAACAACGAAGTAGCAGAAAGAGAAATTAAGAATGCAATTCCATTTAAAATTGCAACAAAAAGAACTAAATACCTAGGAATAAACTTAACCAAAGAGGCAAAAGATCTGTGCACTGAAAACTATAAAAAGTTGTTGAGAGAAATTGAAGAAGACACAAAGAAATGGAAAGATATTCCGTGCTCTTGGATTGGAAGAATTAACATCTTTAAAATGTCCATACTTCCTAAAGCAATCTATAGATTCAACACAATCTCTATCAAAGTTCCAACAACATTTTTCATAGAAATAGAACAAAGAAGCCTAAAATGTATATGGAACAACAAAAGACCCTGAATAGCCAAACTTTCTGAGGACAAAGAGAAGAGCAGGAAACCCCATTCTGTTGGTGTTTCCTGGCAGTGAAAGCCTTAGAGGTCAAGGAAACGTAGAGTTTTGTAAGGTGATGCCTGGCCGTCCCTCCACCTCTGAGCCATATATTGTCTAAAAAACCAAGCATGCACTTTATGTCTACATGCCCATCAAAAACAAGGTGTGAAAACAAAAAGACCCCACTGCACATTGTTCCGAGTTGGTCTGAGCGCTTGAATGTGATCATTCTGTCCTGATGTGCGTACAAATCTCCCCGCAGTTGTGCAGGTCACAGTGCAGTTTCGGACCTTGTGAGCTCGGCTGCCATTTCCATCTTCATAGTGGGGGCAACAGCAGGGTCACAGATCCCTATGGTGTCAGCCTGGTCTACAGATGACAAGTGGCAGGATGGAGAACCCCAGTTTTCTGAGCAGACTCTATATACTTAGAAGATTTGAACAGATTCTTCAAGTTACAAGACTTCCTCAAAATAAATCAACATTTGCCATTGGAACTGGTTTGACTGAGGTGAGCTAGGATGGGGTAAGATTGGAGCTAACTTAGGAAAATCCACGCTGATTCCTGGCTGCCCTGGGATGCCTGGCCCTAGTTATCACCACTGGTTATACCTACACGTAAAACAAGAAGGCTAAGGATATCCTGAAGCTGTCCAGTGCTCCCATCCCTGAGGTCAGTGGTACCACTAAAGCTACTGCAGCCATTAATTCATCTGTGTTTCTGGGTCTTATGAACAGTACACAAAAGGTACAAATTCAAGGTATGCACACAGGTTTATTCAATAATCTGCAAACAGACTCCATGAGTGTCTGTCACCTTATTCCTGGTGAATCAAAGGGAGCCACCTCCTCTGTTACCAGGGGATAGACTCGGCTCTGATCTGATCATTTTACATTCAAATGGCCCACTCACTCCAACCTCCAGCCAGCTTCCTCTGCATGAAGGTCACCACCCTAAGCCGACCGTTACTTCCGCACAGCCTATACAGCTTCTGTAGGCACCGTTCTTCCCTGCACAATAAAGCTTGCCTCACAGCAAACTATGAAACATGTATATCCTCTGCCTATGTCCTTGTCCATCTTTCCTCCCAACATAAGGTAGGACCCAGCACACCTTACCCTGTGCATACAGCACTCACGATTTGTTAATACCTGCTCTCCTCCCTGTACAACCCCTCTCACGCAGAACCACACTGGTATATATATCTTTGCTTTATTTAGGGCTGTTGCACTGGAAACTTTAGCTCCAGTAACACTAGAGATGCAGAGTGACACTGTGGCCGGTCAAAACTAATTTTGGTTGAAGTGGCTAAGGTGGTCTAAACTGAAAAAGTTATTGCTTGGTCCTGCAAATTCTATGTGAGGAATTACATGAAAAAAAGAACGATGAAGGCGGTAGAGATGACAGTATCTTGCTTTTCACTGCAGAGGAAATATAGGCATTGGATATTCAGTCAAATACACATTCTATTGCCATTTGGCTATCTTGGTCCTTTCCCTGTGAATTTAATCATTGGAAGATACAGTTGTGGTGTATGTGTCCATTACTGGGTGAATCAAAATATACAGAGAATCATTGTTAAAAGGTCTAGAGTACAGACGTTGCTTTAAAGCCAGAGCACCTGCTGATTGTGATGTCAGTGCACTATGGGGTTCGCTGAGACACTGAGGGAAAGAGTTAGTGCTTTGACAGCCAGGACTTGTGTTTGCCTTGGCATCCAAGTACAGGAACTGGGGTCAAAAAGCCAAGCAGCATTTTCGTTAGTTCCATTTGACATCATGGAACGTTTATCACATTTATTGTCAGGACTTTACAACTTAGCATCGGAAGACTGAACTTTAACGACGTTGTCTACTTCTGGCTGTGTCAGGACTTGGCTTTTGGTTAACTATTAGGAAGCCAAGTATTTGAAAGCTCTTATTTGTGTGACCAGTTTGCCGTTAATAGGTATTAAAAGCAGGCTGGCAGGGCAGGAAGAGGAACCGTTATTCTCTGCAAAGTAAAGCATAAAGTGCCCTCAAAGTGGCCCTAAACCTCTGTGCGAAAATCTTGAAGAGCTTTCATGGGTAGAGGCAGTAAAGAGGGAATGACAGCTGACTAGAATGACATGACCAAGACAACGAGGCAAAAAACTCAGCACGTTGTCTTGCTTCCTTTCAGATGCTACTGTATTACATCCAGTCCTTGGCCTAGTGTACTGTCCAGTGTGCTTTCTGTTTAGAAAATTGCCATGTATTTATACAATGATTTCTCTTTAGAAAATTGCATGTTCTTCACTTGATACAAATGCACAGCTTGAATCATATTACTAACACTGGTCTTTGGTTTAAAACAGGCTTGCTTGAGATTTCAAGAGAGGGCATGATGTCGCCTTCCACTTTAACCCGTGCTTCAGTGAGAACAACAGGAGAGTCGTTGTTCGCAATACAAAGCTGGATAATGTCTGGGGAAAGGAAGAAAGACAGGCGGTTTTCCCATTTGAAAGTGGTAAACCATTCAAAGTAAGTTATTGCTACTATGAGATATTGAAAATGTCTGTTGCTCATGGGACTCGCTCTAAACCACAATGCACTTGAAATGAATTTTCACCAGCTCTCCTGAGACACCTAACTAGGACATCTCCTCCCCATCCCAGGGGACCAGGCGTTGCAGGCTGGAACAGGGCCAGGAGCAGCTGTTGTGCTTGTGGCCACCACTCTGAGTTTAAGCTCTTCTGGAAATGAGAAAAATATCATCCTTAATAAAAAAAAGGCAGAAAGTCTTTGCGGTGCAGTTGGACTGAGACTTGCCTCCTTAAATCAACATAGTTGGCACGGCAATCAAAACTAAAATCTTTTGTAATTCTAAAATGAATACATGCCTGTTTTATGAAAAAAATATATATTTTTTTAAGTGGCTAAAAAGTCCTCCATCCTTCATCCCTTCCACCATCCTCACAAAAGTTGCAACTTGGTGAATATCTTTCCAGTATTGTCTACGACACACAGCACACTTTTTGTTTTCAAGTGCTGCTTCAATAAATATCTACTAGGTCCTCCCTGTTGGGCCATGGCTGGCTGTAGAGTGGGCAATAAAACAGCTCAACTGTAAGCTCCTCAAGGGCAGGGAGAGGAGGGACCCTATTCTACATCTGGTGGACATCTTTTCCTCTCGGAACATTGTTACCCAATGGTATATCATTGTTTACGTATGTGATAATTTAACCAGTTCTCTATTGATGAAAATTTGGAATATGGAAAATTCCAAACAAATAAAACCTGGGAAGGTTTATTTATTTATTTTACTGAAATACTGTAATAACTATCCTTATAAATCTTTGCTCCCTAGAAGAACAATTTTATTCAAAGAATAGACATGTTTAAAACTTAGAGAAGATATTGCCAAAGTGCCCCTTCTGAAGGATGTGAGGATTAACACATCCACAAGCTCCTGGAAGAGTGTGTTTTCCCTACTCTTGCCAAAACTGGTTATTACAGAGCTTCATAACATTTGCCACTCTATTAAGGGTGTCCTACTTTAGTGTTTATTTTTTACTTTTATGTGTTTTAGACCATAAAAAAACTTTAAGTTTTAATGTAAACTGTATGTTTTTATTAATGTTCTCCTTTATGGCTTCAACTATATATTTTTTCTAACAATTTTAGCATTTTGGTTTGTGTAAACCTTTAAATAATCTAGAGTTTATTTTTGCTGTAAAGTTACTCTTTCTGCACTTTAATCAGTTCCACAAATGATCTACAAGATGGAACATCAGGCATCCTGAGCTCAGGCAGACTGGTTTTGAAATTAATGGGCATTTCTAACAGTTCTGCATATGTGCCATTTCAGATACAAGTGCTGGTTGAAGCTGACCACTTCAAGGTTGTGGTCAGTGATGCTCACTTATTGCAGTACAATCATCAGAAGAGAAATCTCAGAGAAATCAGCAAACTGTGAATTTCTGGTGACATAAATCTCACCAGTGCTTCACACACTATGATATAATCTTAAAGGGGCAGATGCTTTTTAAAAAAATGAAATTGAATGTAAACTTTGCACATTTAAAGGGTTCACGTACACTATGAGTGAAAAGTTTTACCTTTATTCATCGATGTCCTACTTGTAAATCATCCATTTAACAAATACTGTAAGATTTACCTGTCTTCATATGTCATTTAATCATATGTGCATTTATTTTCAATAATGCACAATGGAAAAAGAAATATTTAGCAATATTAATACTGTGTTGGAGTCTCCCAAAGCTTTCTATGCTTCCTAAAATATTTTTTAAGACAAGAAATAGAAGTAAATACTACCCAAAAATTAACCTCTCTCTTCCTGGGTTTCATAAAAACCAGGAGATGCTACAAGGAAATCATTCTCCTGTTTTGTTACTTCAGGAAATAAAATATATTCAGGAAATGAGAAAAGCAGAAAGAGTTTACCCATAGATGACCCTTGACCCATAGGCAATGACGGTTAGCATTCTATTTCTTTTAACTCCTTTTAAATCCTATTTTGTCTCTAAACTATACTTCACTGCTTTCAAATCAGTATTGGATACCGACATGAGACTACCTCCCCATAGGTTTTCTTGGTTTTTATGAAATCTCTAAATTTGTAGAGGGGAAAAAAGTCATTTCTTAATTAAACATACATCAGATTCAAAGGTTTAATAGTTCCCATTGTCAACATTCTTAACTATGCCTTTCTGCCCTTCCTTTCTCCCAGCAAGCCCAAAGAATAATAAAATTTCAAAACTAGGTTGTGGTCACACCAGTTCATTTTATAGAAGACCAAAATATTATTGTATCTATTATTGTCTCTACAATACCATCTTCTCAAGTTCTTTAAATTGCTCATTGTCACAGGCTGGGTTCCCCGGGAAGCAAAGAGATCAGAATGCAAGAGGTTTATGAGGGAGCGCTCTTGAGATCAACTGCTGTAGGGGCAAGAAGGTACAGGATTGGGCAGAGGAGGACGTGAGGCGTGGATGCCTCAGCCCACCCTGCAGGGGAGCTGAAGCTGGGATGATACTTTAGAGTAGTCAAGAGGGGGACAGGTCCTTGTAGCTCATCTCTAGTCAACAAGTACAGGCCACCTGGGAAACAGGGCAGAAACGTGGGTGAAGGGTCTATCTTCACCTGAGGCCCTTCTCACAGGGGATGATAGCTGCGGGGGGGTCTGCACTTCTGATGACTAGAGGAGTTCATTCTTCAGTCCTTCAGAGGGATTGGGCAGCACATCACAGCACATTTTAAAAACTACATAAATCCCTTAACCTAACATCTGGTCTTGACCGCCCTTCTCCTATGGTTAAATGGAAGAACATAAGCTTTGGAGAAAAGAGGGAAATATGCTTACACAAAATAACTCCTCTGAGCCTCGGTTCCTTTGTCTATAAAATGGGCAGTATAGTACATCTTCTGTAGAGTTACTGTGATCACGAAATATTGTTTGCAAAGGGGTCGTCATGTAGTAGTCTTCAATAAACGGAAATGCTCTGTCTTTTTGATTTTGGAAAGGCTCTTGTTCTACTCAAGCAGTTTCCTTCCATTTGGTCTTCAAAGAGTTTTCTCAGGCCTCATGATTCTAGAGTCCAATAGCCCAGGAACACTCTTTCTAGTTGTAGGAGACACTGATGGCTGCCTTCCCATTTATTCCCTGTTTCGCATCCCCTACTGACTCCTATTGATCTGCAGATGGGCAAGTGGCATCAGTTGGCCCAACCAAAGGGAAAGACAAAGCTCTGATTACCACCTACAGCCATCTTATGACCCTGAAAGGACCCAGCCTTGGAGAAGCCGACACCGAGTGTCGCACCGAGTGTGACCAAGTGAACTGCAAACCGAATGTGGACCTTGATGCCATCACTGAGCTGTTGATAGTAAAGTGCCTCGAATCATCCTGATAACTTATTGTTAAGCCAGTTTGAGTTCACTTTACTGCTACTTAACCGCCAAAAGCTTTCTGAACGATTCAGTAGTACATCTTATTAAACCTACCACAGAGGAAAACCATGTTTACAGACTCTGTCTCATTCTCATCTACTTTATCCTCGAGGGCAAATATTATTTTATGTTGCATATTGTTATTTTGTACTCACCTCTGGTACATGTTCCTGGCTCTGCACCCTTAGTAAACCCTAACTTCTATATATATTTCTTTGTTCTGCATGTCTTGTTTGAATTATGCATTGACAGACTTAATGATTAAAAGCCACCTTAATCTCGGGTAAGACTAGGAATTCTGGGAACATTCCTCACACAGCCTCCCAACTGCTCACATGGACTTGATAATAAACACAATCTCCCCCACAAGCCGAACACACATTCCTTTGACAACAGAAGTGGATGCGTTTTCTTTTCTTGTTTGCAAACCCCTAATCTTGAGGGGTTATCCATCAAGTTCCTGCTTGTTTGGTCAACACCTGCAACCCTCAACCCATTTGCTGACAGAAACAACTGGACCCAGGTCTGGTCACAAACTTTAGCTACTCCGAGTCTTTTTGGTGCTCCGTTATTCTGACGGTCCTGTCTTCTACAATTTCATAGGTAAGAGTCTTATAAAAGAACATTTCAAACCCATTGTGATTGATATAATTCTCTTCAAAGGAAGAAGGCATTTCCTTCAAAGGTTGTCAGTTATGTAAAAGGAAAAATGAAAAAGGCAAAACTTTAATGGGCACCTCTAATAATTTGACCGTTTGAAACAGCAGCATGTAAACTGAGTTCAGAATCCAGAAAGCTCATCTAAAGAAACGCAGTACACCTGGAAAATGCAGCCTGCAAAGCTGCTCAACACCAATAAATTTAAGAGTTCAAACGAAGAATAGCGTATGAAAGGATGTAAATATTTCTGTCAAAGTTTAACATATTTTGATTAAACTGAAGAATGTTCATAAGCTGTGAACATACTTAGGTTTAAGCTTAAAGTTTTGTTTTGTTTTTTTAAAGATTGTCAGCAGTTGTTATGTCAGTTGCCAACGTTTTTTTTTCTTTCGCTATTTCTCCCCAAATCCCCCCGTTATGTAGTTGTATATTTTTAGTTGTGGTCCTTCTAGTTGTGGCACATGGGACACCGCCTCAGCGTGGCCTGATGAGCGGTGCCATGTCTGAACGAGTGAAACCCTGGGCCACCGCAGAGTAGTGCACAAACTTAACCCCTCGGCCATGGGGCCGGCCCTAAGCTTAAAACATTTTAAACAAGAGAGGCTAGGCACAGTGCATTTTTATTCTGCATAAAGTAAAAAATATCCCCACTTCCCCTGAAAAAACAGTATCATATCTAAAACACACGATAGTAAATATTAACTATTAGGACATTAGATAACACTATATACATGAACATTAATCCATATTTTTTAACTTTTCAGTATTCGAAGAATACACTGCAGCATGGAGATTATGAAAAAAACGTTTTGCTTTTTGTAATTCATAGTTCTTCTGGTTGATTTCCATTAGGAGGCACTCGAGGTGAAAAGGAAATTAAGCCCCCACCAAAGGAAGCGTGTCTGGCATGCTCCTGTCACCTCTCCTCCACCTGCGTGAAGGGATCACTGCACCCAGGGCATGGCTAGAGAACAAAGTCAGAGAAGTCACTAAAGTAACACTCAAGTTTCACCAACTTAGTCTGCAACATTGCAAGTTAATAGTGGATTAATTAATAACATAAATAACATTTTTGTACCTAATAAAATTATTAATATAATGATTATGCTACTTTCCAGCAGATATAATGTCAAAACTATAGCTTTTTTCATTGAAAGGGTGATTAACATGTAAATGGACTCAGCAGCACATGCAGGTTGAATAAAACTGAGGCCACATCTTAAGCCACTTATGTAGAGTCCACAAATCCTAACCCATAGAGCAGCACTCAAGGTGCCTTTTACTAGTCGGATCCTGTGGGATCCTTTCCTCTGTTCCCCCTCAAGCCCCAGTTCAGGCTCAAATGATGCCATGGAGCAAGTCATAATTTGGGTGTGAAATGGACAGGGGGACCAACAAAAAATATATCAAAAAATCAAAATTCTAATATATACAGAAGTAGAAAAGAATTCACAGGGACAGTAAATTATAAGGTACTAAGATTTATCAGCAAGATAATGTATAGATAACTGTGAAGTACTTGTAGTCATATTACTAATATATAAAAAACAGAACATTATGATTCATTAGCTTCCAGATTTACTTATAAGATTACATATTATCAGAACATATCATTCTGAGTTCAGATCTAGGAACAAGATGAAGTCAGATTTCTATAAATAGGCCTTATGCTGAAATGCCTGACCCTCCGGTCTCAGCCTGCGTTTAAAAGCAGCTGGAACCAAGAAGGACCAGAGTGTGGGTCACAGTAACATACTTCCTTATGCCCCGGAGACACCCAGCCACCCAGAAGCCTGAACACCAAGAAGGCATCTTTGAGAGCCAATGAAAGCCAAGATAACAGAGGTCCTGAAGGAGCTGGTGGCTTCAGGAAGCCAAGCATTGGCCAGGCTTCATGAGGTTAACAACAGTTGCTGCTGTTTGATCCTACACTTGCTGTAATGAATTGTTGATATTCTGAAATCAAAGATCAACAAACCAAGGCCATTCCCTGAACCATTTTAGCAATTGCCCTGGAAAATTTCAAGGTAAGGCTGTACACCGGAGTTGTCAGCTGGGCTACACATTAAAATGACCTGGCAAAGGTCTACCCCAGGTCGCTGAACTAAACCACGTGGAAGAGCAGAAAACCAGGGCAGCAAACACTCAGTGTGCAAGAGAGCACTGATGCATCATGCCCGTGCCAGTGGCCCTGAACACGAGGCAGACGCTTTGCCTGAGAGGGGCAGAGGGTGGATGAGGGAAATGGAACCCTGAAGTTACAACATGCTTTAGGAACATAACACTTTCATATCCCTCTCCTCATAAGAGATTAAATGTGTGCAACTGTGCCTGGACATGAGGCAACACGGGAGTGATGAGAGCATCCACAGGAAGCCCGCCCAGAGGGCTAATGCTGGAGCTGGAGTTAGAGGCAAGAGGTCACCAAAAGTAAAGGCTGGGGGCTTCCAAATAAAATAGAACATAAATAGAGTAATCTAAGCAAATTAGAACAAAAACAGCCAATGACAACTGAAGCTAGGCTAGACATGGTGTCCCCAAGCGCATGCTTCAGATGGACGGAAACCTTGCCTTATACTTTTCTGCATCGCTTAGAAACACCTGCATAACCCAGGCCACATGTTAGATATTCAAGTACTCAACCGACTCGTCACAGCACATTTGACACATAAGTCACATAAGGAAATACACCTTCAGAGTTTACTACTAAAACAAACTATATTTTAAAGTATGTTAACATGAAATTTTGTTCCCATTTTGATAAAAACGAATAACAAATGGATTTCAGAGTAAAGAAATAACAAGATGTAAATTTTAAACTGCATTTCAATTAAAAACTGAGTAATATTCATTTTATAAAACAAATCTAGAATATAAAAGATCTTTTCAGATTAAGTTGGAAAACTTACTGAATCAAGAAGATGGCATTCAGTCATGAGATTTTTATTATCAAATACTGCTGAAAAAAAAGAATTTTTAACTTTTTAAATATTCTCACAGTCAAGGGTTATTAGAAATGGACGAAGCTTTGAAAGATATGAGAAGTTCCATATATCAAATGCTAAAACAAAAATGTAGGTCATCTCATGATATAACAGTTTTTCAATGTCGTTAAAGATTTCTTAGTAAAATCCTCATCCTTCATTTCAGTATAAAAAGGGTCTCCTACAAACAAATCTCATGCTTGTAATATTAAAGGTGCCCAAAAGACTCCCAATGAAGAGCACAGCTGGAGAACATGAAATGTCCGGCCAAGGTGATGTTTATTTTGCGTTAGGCCCCAGCCAGAAGAGCACCCCAGAGCAGCAGAAGAGAGGAGGCAAAACCATCACACGCTATATTATAATAAAAACACAAGAGCCCTTTCCTAATGCATGACAATTGCAACAAAGTAGGTAGAAGTAGGCATTAGGGAAGAAAAATTGGTCATTTTGAAGAAAGGTTTGAGGATGTGTGTTGAAAAGGAGGAGAACTAAAAAAACTTCAGGGAATTTCTCTAATTGAGTCTTCGCAAACAATGAAGGATCCCAAATAGTTTGGTCTAATGTAAAATGCTACTTATATCCAACATGGATTAATATCTGCTGTTGATTTTTTTTTTTTTTTGGTGAGGAAGATGGCCGCTGAGCCAACGTCTGTAGCAATCTTCCTCTATTTTGTATATGAGATACCACTGCAGCATGGCTTGATGAAAAGTGTGTAGGTCTGTGCCCAGGATTCAAACCGGCAAACCCTGGGCCACTGAAGAGTAGTGCACAAGCCCGGCCACTATGCCACCAGGAAGGCCTGGTGCCTGTTGTCGATTTTTAATAGGTCTACCACAACTGGGCTCTACCTCAGCTGATTTCATTGGATTATTATAAAATTAGCACATTTACTGTGTTTCAAAAAGATCTGGGCAAAAGTTTTGATACAAATGAAAATAAAACCAAACCCACCTTCCCTAAGCATCATTTTTTAAGCACAGCCAGAGAAGTGTGATGGTTTGGTGACTAAGCTTCCTTTGCTGCTGAAATTCTCATCCAGCCTGCCACCAACCTGAAGAAAATCACCTCACTCCTCATGCTCATCATCTCCCTTCCCTCTTGGGACCCTGTGACCTTCCTCCCAGGACCGTGGGGTTAGGGGCTAATAACAGAAGTGAAGTCACTTAGAAAACACAGAAAAGCAACTTTAGGAGATATGTCACTTCAGGTAATCTAATCCCATCCATCAAACGAAATCTGCAAGTGTTTGGTGGTGAGGATGTGGTCTATTTTCCAGAAATCACAGACAGCTTATATCGCTTCCTGTGAAAACTTTTACACCTCCTGTACAAGCTCCCATCCAACCCAAGTACTTTTCTTAAGTAGTCTCAGCAGAAAAACTAACCTGAGGACGATTTAACGGGACTTTCTATTCTAAAAGATCCAGCGTCAAACGCTATAAGATCAACTTCCTTCGGCACCGCAGAGCCCAAGGCCTCAGCCTGCTCTCCTGGCTGCATTCTCTCTCTCACTGCCTTCTTCACAGTAGTGAGGTGACCCCCATCTGCGATCCCAGCATCGTCCTGTTTTGGTCCACTTGCTATACCTGAAACAACTTTTTCCTACAAAGAGAAATTATGACATTTACTAAAGCGACTCATTACCATCTTATAAGAAAAATAAATAAAGCATACCTAAAATATTTCACACATGTGTCTTATGCTTATCAAGTTCCTAGTATGTGCTAAACAGGCTGGGGGTCAAAGGTAAAGGACAAAGTTCCTGCCCTCAAGGAGTTAGTTGTGGTTGTGGTTTAATGTAAACAAAGATAGGACCCTTCAACATGTCTAAAAACTGATGGAAAAGAGAGAACAAGGCTAACTGATGGAATGAGAGGTCAATAAATAAGAGGTCTGGGGGAATGGTCCTAAGTACAGATAAAAGATTAGTTTGATTTTAACTGTTCAGTAGTCTTAACGGTGGCCTATAAAATAATGTAGGAGAGAAACACTGGTGGTAAGGGGCAGAATTACAAGGCTCTGATATAACGCTATCTTGACACAGCCGTTATCTGAGTCACTGATGGTGTTATGTTCCCAGGACTAAGCACCCGATAAGAAATGCCCACAGGAGGTCCAAATGTCCCAGCATCCTTCTTGTTTAATAGACTTGAAATTCATTCAATCAATCTCGTCACTGTCCTCAGGACTTTTGTCATTAGTAAGACATTACTAATGTCTTACTAAGACATTACTTCATTAGTAAAATAAGGAGACTTCATTAGTAAAACAATCCTACAATAATCCTTTAATACTCTAACATCTTAAACTCCTAAGATAGAATTCAAAACAGAGTTTTTATTTGGATTACATAGCATAATAAAGTAGCAGTTCAGAAACCTGATTTTACAACCACAGGCTTTTTCTAAAATCTAAAAGAAAAAGTGGCAGGGCTCCAAGGTGGCTTGAGAAGTAGCAATCTGAACCAAAAGCTTGGAGTTAAAATATTTTAGGAAAAAATTACTACAAATAGATAAGAATGGAATCTATCATGTCAACAAAGCCAATTTTACAGAGAAAATAGGAAATTTTACATGATAAAATTTGGGAAGAGAGAGAGTCTAAGAGTCATTGTTCCTCTTTTCTCCTTAAAAAGTTCTTTCATTTTGAAATACATCACGCACAAGAGTATAGAAAGCAGAGAGATGGCATAGCCTGTGGGTTAAGAACATGGGTTCTGGAGTGAGAAACCCAGCTCCACCCTGGGCACATGCTCAAGTCTTCCTGGCCTCAGATTCCCCACCCGGGGATAACGGCACCCACCTCACAGGACTGTTGTGAGGATTAACTGAGTCAATGTGTGTGAGGGCCTGGGAAGCATAGTTGGCACATTATATAAATTATGTATTACTGCTATTATTACTACAAAACAATGTATAGGTAACAGTTTAAAGAATAAAACACACAGGTACATACCGCTACTTAGCAGCTCAGAAGCTCTCAGGGGGACCAAATTCAATCTCAACCCCACCTCCCCGCCCAGAAATAACCATCCTGAATTTTGTGTTGACTTTTCCTCACTCTTTCAAGACAATCAGGACATTGTAAGTAATAGAGGACACGTTTTGTGAAATGATGAAAAACCTGAAGCTAAATGTTTCTCTTTTTTTTTCTACTTTTATCTCCCCAAACCCTCCCTTTACACAGTTGTATATCTTAGTTGCACATCCTTCTAGTTGTGGGATGTGGGACGCCACCTCAACGTGGCCTGACGAGCAGTGCCATGTCGGTGCCCAGGATCTGAACCCCGTGCCACCGCAGCAGAGCCACGCAAACTTAACCACTCGGCTAAATGTTTCTAAAGCTTAAATTCATTAAAGTAAAACAGTCTATATTAGAAATCCACAAATTTGCCTGAAACACATCTTTGCTCGTATTGCTAGCTTTCTCCCATCCACAAGTATGGTCAGATTGTTGAATTTCTGGTGCAGGTCCTGTATCTGTTAATAAATAAAGCACAAGATTATCAGATTAATGCTAACCATATTAAATTTACAAACTAATCCACAAAAGCTTCAAACAAATTGACAACAACTTGGACTGGTCACATAAAATTAGACTGTCATTTTAAATTTAGTATTCAAATCAATTCTTATATGGTAAAATTGTTCATTGTTATTTTATGTTATAAACCTCAAAAATCTAATAAAGGATGTCATATGTGAATAACTCTCCCAAACTATTTTGATGACTAAAATGGTAGGAGAGATATCCTAAATTATACAGTGTGAACACAATCTCTCTCCCTTTTGTGTTTTTTTGAGTTTTTTTTTTTTTACAGTTTATTTATCCCTTCTCCTACTGAGGAGCATATTCCTTGCTTTCAAGTCTTGGCAATTATGAACGGTGCTGCTATAAACATCTGTGTGCACATTTTTGTGTGGACACGGGTTTTCAGCTCATTTGGGTAAACACCAAGGAGTGTGACTGCAAGATCTCATGGTAAGACTGTTTAGTTTTGTAAGAAACTGCCAAACTGTCTTCCAAAGTGGCTGCACCATTTTGCATCCCCACCAGTGATGAATGAGCGCTCCTGTTGCTCCACATCCTCACCAGCATCCGGTGTTGTCAGCGGTTTGGATCTTTGCCATTCTAACAGGTGTGTACTGGTGTCTCATTGTACTTTTAACCAGCAATTCTCTAAGGGCATATGATGTTGAGCATCTTATCTCTTCATACACTTACTTGCCGTCCATCTGTCTTCTTTGATTAAGTGTCTGTCTGTTCAGTTCTTTTGTCCATTTTTTAAATCAGGTTGCCTGTTTTATCATTGTTGAGTTTTAAGAGTTCTTTGTATATTTTAGAAAACAGTCCTTTATCAGATAGGTCTTTTGCAAAATTTTCCCCTAGTCGGTAGCTTGCCTTCTCTTTCTCTTGACACAATCTCATTGTATTTTCATTTTTATTTTTTTGGTGAGGAAGATCGGCCCTAACATCTGTTACCAATCCTCTTCTTTTTTTGCTTGAGGAAGACTGGCCCTGAGCTAACATCTGTGCCAGTCTTCCTCTATTTTGTACATGGGTCACCACCACAGCATGGCTTGATGAGTGGTGTAGGTCCATGCCTGGGATCAGAACCTGCAAACCCTGGGCCAATGAAGTGGAGTGTGCCAAATTTAACCACTATACCACTGGGCTGACCCTGACACAATCTCATTTTAAAGGATTCAAATAATACACATACTAGCAGGATGGGAATATATGATCCCCATCCTTCTGGTATTTCCAGTCTCCTCAAAGTGGTAACCACTGTCAACAGTTGGGTAAATATGCTTTGAGCCTCCATACTATGCATTTATACAAATAGGTACTCTCAATCTTCCTCTCTCAAAAAAATTCAAATGTCAAAAATACTCAGGATTACACTTATGACCAATTGATTTTCAACAAAAGTGCCAATGCAATTCAATGAGGAAAAGATAGTTTTTTCCAACAAACAGTACTGGGAAAAGTGGATATCTGCAAGAAAAATACGAATTTGGGCTCTTTCCTACACCATACACAAAAATGAACTCCAGAGCCAGCCCTGATAGCCTAGTGGTCAAAGTTCAGTATGCTCTGCTTCGGCAGCCCAAGTTTGGTTCCAGGGTGTGGAACCACACGACTTGCCTAGCAGTAGCCATGCTGTGGTGGCAGCTCACACAGAAGGACTAGTAGGACTTACAACTAGAATACACAATTATATACTGGGGCTTTGGGGAGGAAAAAAAAAGAGAGGAAGACTGGCAACAGATTTGCTCAGGGCAAATCTTCCTAGCAAAAAATAATTAATCACAACTTAATTTTTTAAAAAAATGAACTCTGAATGTTCACAGACCTAAGTGAAAGAGATAAAGCTGTTAGAAGTAAACATAAGATAAAATCTTTGTGACCTATGGTTAGGCAAAAAGAGTTCTTGGAAATAATGCCAAAATCACAACATTAAAAAAAATTGATAAACTGAACTTCATCAAAATTAAAAACATCTGCATTTCAAAAGATACCATTAAGAAAATTAAAGAACAAGCCACAAATTGGGAGGAAATATTTGCAACTATTTCTGATAAAGGACTTGTATCCAGAATATACAAAGAACACTTACAACTCAATAATAAAAAGACAAACCCAATTAAAAATGGGCAAAAAGATTTGAATAGATATTTCACTGAAGACGACATATGAATGTCTAATAAGCACATGAAAAGATGCTGATCATCATTACTCATTAGGGAAAAGCAAATCAGATCTACAATAAGACAGTTCACACCCCACAGGATGGCGATACTAAGAGAGACAGGAGCAAGCACTGGTGAGGACGCGGCGCAACAGGAGCTCTCACACACCCCTGGTGGGCACGTGAAAGGGTGTAATAACTTTGGAAAGCAGTTTGGCAATTTCTTAAAAAGTTAAACACAAATTTACCACATGATCCAGCCATATCTTCCCAAGTGAAAGAAAACATGCCCACATGAAGATTTGTAAGTGAATATTCATAGATTATTCGTAATCACCAAATAGTGGAAACAACCTATATGTCTGTCAACTGGAGAATAAAGACTGATGTCTCCATGAACCACTACTCAGCCATTAAAGGAACAAAGAACAGGTATGTGCTGCAACACGGAGGAACCACAGAGACACCATGCCGAGGGAAAGAAGCCACATACAAAAGACCACATATTGGGTGATTCTACTTAGAATGAAACGTTCAGAAAAAGCAAATCTACAGAGACAGTAAGGAGACTCGTGGTTGCTTGGGACTGGGTGTGGCAATGGCAACTGACTGAAAACAGGCAAGAGGCATCTTTCTGTGGTAATGAAAATGTTCTAAGTTTGGATTGTAGCGACGGTTGCACAACTCTGTAAATTTACTAAAAATCATTGACTTTTATACTTAGAACGGGCAAATTTTATAATATGTAGATTATTTATCCTCAGTACAGCCCTTTAAAATAAATAAAAGCCCCAGGAGCCAACTTGAAGAGGCTCCCACTGGCCAAAGCTGGGAAATGAGCATCAATAAAGATAATGACTGTAAATGATGCCAACATAAATACTTTTAAATCCATAAAATAATTATGATACTAAGAAAGACAAAATTAATTGGTCACCATTGAAGGATGCTAGTGAAACAACTCATTATTATGTCAACTGGTCATAAAGTAATGCTGACATTATTATGACTCCATAAACACTATTCACTTCTGGGCCATATAATTACAGAATATTGTGTTTCTTCACATTTTTCTCTAGACTTAATCATTGCCTTGCTTTTTGTTTGCTTAGTTTTTTAATGTATCTATCATCAATTTGCCTCTAAACTCTGCACAGTATGTATAAATCACCTCTTAATACAACTAGAAAAGCAAACCACTTTGGTATTCTATTCTGTTCAGCCTCAGAGACAGTGTCTTGCTGAGCCCCAGCCTCCTGCTCCAGTCTGAACGGCTGCTACCTGAGCCCGCTGCCCACCCTCTTTACTCACCTCAGCCACAATTCCCTTAGACTTTTTGGGGATCTGTCCCACCTCCTCCCACTTTCTTGGCTTACTCCCTCATTTTTGTGAGGGCCGTTCTCAGGTTCCTGAGAAAGGATGCATGGGAGGTAAAATTTCCGTGTGTATCTGAAACATGCCTTTCCAACCTCAAGCATGATTGGCTGGGTATACAACGCCAGGCTGAGTGTTGTTTTCCCCAAGAAGTTTGAGGGCACTGTTCTCCCAGCTTTCGATGTCGCTGTTGAGAAATCTAAGGCTATTCTGATTCTTGACCCTTTGTATGAAACTTGTTTTTGCTCTCTGGAAGTTTCTAGATGTTTCTCTTCATCCCAAGAGTTGTACAATTATATTTAATTGTGCATTGGTGTGCGTCTACTCTGACTCACAGTGCTAGGCACTCAATGGGCTCCTTCAATCTAGAATTCAGGTCCTCCAGTTCTGGGAAAAATGTGAAACTATTTCATTGATCATTTCCTCTCCACTATTTTTTCTGTTCTCTTTTTCCGGAATCCTTATTATTTGGATATTATACTTCTAGACTGGTCCCCTTAATATTCTTATCTAGTCTCTCCTATCTTCTCTCTCTTTTTGTCCTAATTTGTGGGAGATCTCAGCTTCATATTCCATCTTTCTACTGAATCTTACATTTCTGCTCTTATAGTTTTTAACTTCAAAGAGCTCTTTTGTCATTCTCTGAATATTCTTTTTTTCATAGCTGTTCTTATTTGGCAGAAAAAATGCCTGGTCTCTTTGAGCATATTAACACTTGCTTTTAAAGTTCTTTCTCCTGGATCAGCCCATGGCCTCATCTAAACAGCTTCTTTCCTGTGCTGCTGTGGCACCTTCTTCCAGGTTTCGGGTTGTCTGCAAATGTCTCATGGTTGTTGGCCACTGGTTCTTGAAACAGTATTTTATATGCTTATTTCTAAAATAAGCTCAAAACGCTAGAAACTGGCATCTCCTCCCAACCTTCACTGATCTTCCTAGTAACGGCCTCTATCAGCACTTTCTACACCAGATTGGAATGAGGGCTATGTCTGACACTGATAAAACTATAAACTCCTCTGGGGTAGAGAATGTGCCTTATTTGTCAGCTCCTCATACAACTCCTGGCACACAGCAGGGAAAATAACTGCTGGATGGACCCAGCTACTGAAGACTCGTCCTCATTTTTATCGCACGTGGAATCATCACAGACTAGGCAACAGCTGAATAGAATCTCAATTTCCAACCCATTTAGAAATTACCCTGACAGTATGCGGGAGGAGGGGACAGCAGCCATAAAATTTAGACAGTGCTTTACAGTTTGTAAAGGGGCTAATATCTCATTTAATATTACAGATACCTAAGCAGCCTCTACTACTCCCATTTTACTACTGTTACCTCGCTTCCAAAAACATGCGACTCGAAAGTTAAGCCATTCCAAGTCCTGACCACATACCTGAAGGCTGGCCATGTCCCAGAATCCACCTAGGTCTGCACAGGTGGTATCCTTTTCGCCTCATTGGTATTCCAAATCGTCCACCAGTTCTTCAAACGGTTTGAATATTTCTGCCTTAAGGAGTCTTTTTTGACCAACTGCAAGGGGAATAAGATCTTCTGCTAAGGGAAAGATGAGACTTTTAAAAGGTAGAGAACAAAACGGGACCTTGATTGCAAGTCAGCCAGCTGATAAGACGACCTCACGCCAAATAAACTGGAGCTTCCAGAATCAAACTCTTACCTTAAAGCAAAACAAAAAAACATCGGCTACAAAACTTTGTCATACAAATACTGAGCATTAACTGTCTGCTTCTGTTCCCACTAAAACGTAGCAATATTCATTCTCATATATGTTGCTACATAGTAAACAGCATTCTGCTCACCTTGGATTTTATAAGAATTCAACCTCAAACAACTCACTGTACATCAGCATCTAAGGCCTTCACTCAGCACACAAATGATTTTTTCTAAAAAGCTTCTCCAAATAAGATTAAGGAAATATCAGAAAATTTGTTCCATATTTATTTAGGTCATTTTCATTCAGAAAATATTTTGCATAACTAAACAATACTAGATATAGATGTCACTCAAAAAGTCATAAAAAAATCTAACAATAAAATAGGCAGACGTTTAACTCCCAGGAATGATGGCTAACATTCTAATTACTTACACCTTATAAGTCATCTACCATTTTAGCACAGAGATACTAGGGAACATATGTTGAGAAATGAAAATTCTTGCTATTTTGAATAACAAAACTATAAAGTTCGGCAACACTAGATTTTTGTTTCAGATAAATGTAAACATATTAAAATAAACAATGCAGAGCCAGCCTGGTGGCCAAGTGGTTGGGTCCATGCACTCTCCTTCAGCGGCCCAGGGTTCACTGGTTCAGATCCTGGGCACAGACCTACACACAGCTCATCAGGCCATGCCGTGCTGGCATCCCACACAGAAGAACTAGAATGACCTACAACTAGGATATACAACTGTATGTCAGGGCTTTGGGGAGAGGGGAAAAAAAAGAGGAAGATTGGCAACAGATGTTAGCTCAGGGCCGATCTTCCAAAATAAATAAATAAATAAATAAATAAAATAAGCTAAGGCAAAAAACATAAATGTTCCCTCACCTTTGTTTGGAATATATCCTTCAAACTTCCTTTCCCACTCAAGGCAGTCGGTCAATATTAATTCCTCACTTTCATATTGGAGAATCTTCCTAAAATTATGACATATGTTTCAGTTTTACAAATGTTTCTCATACTAATATCTAAGTATTAGCAATATGACACTTATACAATAGTAATTTTCCAGAGCTGATGCTTATTTTATGAGCTGTGATATATTAAAATCCATAAATACAAGTTGATATCCTATATATGTCCATCTTTCTACACCTAAAACTTATGTGGATGGTTAATGCCAAGAACCACTTTTCCAGCTAATATTTCTAGTTCTTTCTGTTCTTATTTTTCAGAGGCTGAAGAGAAAGAACCAGACATGCCTGAGTTCTGTCTTTAGTTCTGGTATTGCCCATGGAACTAAGACCAACCCAACTGCCAAGAGTAAGTTGAAGCTAAACCCTGTAAGTCTGGAATTACAGTGTCAGGGCCTCACAGATTCTAATTAGTAGGCTTTGCTTGTCCAAGTGCAGTAGTTCTCAACACGGGTCAATTTGGCCCCCCAGGGGACATCTGGCAATGTCTAGAGCATCTTTGTCACAAACCACAGGAGTGCTACTGGTCTGGGATGTTACACAACATCCTGCAATGCAGAGGACGGCCCCACAACAAGAATTATCCAATATGAATGTCAGTAGTGCCAGCTGAGAGACCCTGGCCCAAGATAAATTGAATCTGTCTCTTTATAAAAAGCATCTTAGTAGGAGAAACTGAGGATAGTTTTTTTCTGAGAAGAAAATTTAGCTGTTTATATCTAATGAGATCTTAATGAGAAACGAGACTTGGCTTAGATCCGACATTATTTAGTTGGGTAAATTGCTTATTATCTCAATGTCTCAGTCCAACAACACAGTGGACTAGCTCATCTCTAAAATCTCTTACCATCATAAAACCTTATGTTCTACAAACAACTGAAGTGGCTCTGAAATATACTCATTCACAATAGAACAAATGAGTATTAAAACTATAGGAAGATAATATTTCTCCTCTATTTGATTGTCAAAGCCCAAAAAAGTGGTTAGTACTGCATTGGAAAAGGTGTGAGAATCTTGTTGCTACATGCACTCAAGAACACAGTATGTCATCACATCCTGTGTGATGTGGAGCTTTGGGGCCTTTCTCCAGATGCAGTCCTCTGATCTGTGTCCAAGGCATTTAGGTGACATGGCATTTAGCTTCCCAAACAGGAACTCTAATTTTCAGTCTTCATAGTTGGAGAAACATAATCCTATCTCATGATTTAGGGGGCCAAGGAGCCTCTAACCATCTCCCTCTATCCTTCTTCTATAAAATAAACATTAACTTAGCTTTTTTGTTTGAAAAAGAAAAGGTATGAGAAAATAGGAACTCCCATATTTTGCTGGAGGGAATGTAAATTGGGGTCTTTATATATTTGCACAGGAGAGGATTGAAAAGCATCCAAGCTTGTTCTTTGCAGGCTTGACAGTAATACTACCAGACTGAACTCAATGTAAACAACCAGAACAGGGACCTACTAAGTAAATCGTGGTGTATCCATACAATTGGATACTGTGCGGCCATTAAAACACACACACAAAAAACAGCATGAGAGAGTTCTCAAAGGACTAAAATGGAATATCTCCTACATTTAACATTAAATGAAAACAGAATAGTATGCTACTGTTTACATTAAAAAATGTTTATCTACATATGCATTATGTATCTCTGGAAGAATTCACAAAAAATGAATAACACTTGCCTCTATGGAAGGTTCGAACTGTAGGGTTGGGAGCAGAGTTGAAAAAAAGGCTTCCCACTTGTACCTCTTTCTATCTTTTAAGTTAGGAACCACATGAATATACTAGCCATTGAAAAAAACTTTTAACTTAAAAGATAAATAAAAATCACTCAATGTCAGTTTCCTCCTAATTCATCTACGTATTATATTAAGGTTAAAATAGTTTAATTTTGGTTTTAACTGTCTAGATATTAATACAAAATGCTTACACTGGGAACAAACGCACAGACCTGAAACACAGCACATGTCGCTGCTGAGATGTCTGATCCTCATTTATTTCAAGTGATGGGACTTCTTTTATTGGAAAGCCATGTAAATTTTCAGTAGTAGTTTCATTCTTATTTAAGACACGATCTATAGATTAAAGAAAACATTACATATACATTTCAAAGCAGCAACTCCTAAAATGACATCCCCCCCAAGACAAATTTCTTAAATCCTTCAATTTTTTCAACATTGAAATTTAAAATTTTATTTCTGCCTCAATGATTTCATTCATCAGATTTCCTTTTAAAGTGTTTCTCAATGTTCTTCATCTCTTCAAATTTACATTTAGGTTCCCCTCTCAGTCTGTAGTCCTCATTCCAGCTCTGTCTCCAGATAGCCCTCCCCATGCTTTTCTGTCTCTTCTGACCCTGAGATCACACCCTGAGCTACACGGTGAGCCATATGGTGAAAAGGGCTCGAAACAATCTCTGATAAATCATTACTCAGAGAAACAAGTAAAAAATTCATTAAAATACCATATCTGTGCTCCCAACTGTCAGAGAACTCAAAGGACACCGTAATTCATCGGAATCCTGATGTACTGAAGTTTTCCTTTTGCGTGCCAACATTTCTTTTGTTACTTCTGGAACCTCACCACTAAACAAGAGCAAAAATTCACTTCATGAAACAGGAACCCCATACATCTCATTGAAGGATTTCAAAATTATGTTGTTTTTTAAAAACATGGGATAAAATAGAAATATGTTTCTGTTTTTTAAAACGTGTCTAATCTGGAGGGAAAAACCATAAACACCTCCAGTGGGAAGGCCCGTCTCTGCTCCCTGCGATGAGATCCACAGATGCAAAGACCTCTCAACATTAATTACGCACTGAGGAGCCTCAGATGCCGCTGAGCAGTTCCCAATCTGCCGCCAGCCAGCCTTTGGAAAGCAACCTTGCCATTTCTTTTAAAGATTCAAACTGATTTTTTCTCCCCACCTTACAAGTTAATCATTTTGTCTTTTGAGATAGTTTTTATAAAGTAACACTCAGTAAAAAAAACACAAACAAAAAAATCCAAACCATGTCTGAACTACAGTATAGCAATTCCTTCTTTCTAAAAAATTATTTCTGTGTTACAGTTAAGTCACTTCTTAAAAGCAAAAAAAAAGCAAATTGAATCATGAAAATAACAATGCACAGAAAATATCAAACCTGTCAAATACATTATTGTAGCCTTCTGAAAAATTTTTTGGAAATGTCAAATTTTCATGATTTATAATGAACATAGTTTACTAAATAAATAACTTAAAAAGCACAGGCCAAATCTAAGAAAGGCATTAGTTATCCATCTCAGCAAGGAATTCATTAATAATATTTATTCTTACACTTCTGTTTTTAAAGAGATGCAGCTGTAACTAGGTGTCAAAGTAGCGGTACTTGTTGGAGTCCTAGCTGTTACGTCATAGCTCTTCAGACCATCTGGCGGCTGAAACAGAAAATCTACTCGTGTGAAGGATGGCCTCCTTTTCATTTCTGCAGGATCTGCCTTAGGTAACTTTAGGCTCCATCTGGATCCCTTCCGTTTGTCACACTGGTTTGTGATTCCAAAGTATTTTCTTCACTATCAACTTTAAAAGAAATGACCTGGATGTGAATAAACAGAATAGAGTGAGAATCTCTCTTCTGGGGATACATTCGACCAATTTTTTAGGCCCGAAAATGTGAAAGTTAAGAGATATGTCCCATGTACATAATTTAAGAAACAAAAACAATTAAATGTTTACATGGAGTCAGAAGACCAGCTACATAAACCATTGCTATGGTCCAGAAAGAGGGAGAACAAATCCATGTTAAAAAAAACTATATAATAGGTTTTAGGTATTACCGAAAATTAAAATATATGAAAACTAAGGTTGGAAAAATTCACTCACCTAACAAATACCTATCTTTTTACTTAAATTATGTTGATAATTACAAAGGTTTGAGAATCAGAAATCCAATGTTTATTGGATTACTAGTATTGACAAGGACAAAATCCTTTTTTTTAATAACTTTGGATTATTATAAATAACTTTATCATATGAGAAGAACTATTTTTCAATGTGACACAGTAAGATTAACCATGTAAAATATGAAGCATATTTTCTTTTTCAAGTCAATTTGTTATTTGGTATTTTTTTTTTACTGTAATATAATTGGCATACAACATTACATTAGTTTCAGGTATACAACATAATGATTCAATATTTGTATATCGTGCAATGATCACCCCAGTTAGTCTAGTTAACATCCATCACCATGCACAGTTACAAATTTTGTTTTCTTGTGATGAGAACTTTTAAGATCTACTCTTAGCAACTTTCAAATATACAATATTATTAACTGTAGTCACCATGCAGTACATTACATTCTCTACTTACTTATTTTATAACTGGAAGTATGTACCTTTCGACCACCTTTGCCAATTTAACCCACCCATTTCAACATAACTTTTAGAGGTTTCTATGTTTCTGAGTTTTAATGAGATACGAATTGAAAGCAGAGTATTTCTACCCGGACGAGAGTTTAAGGGTAACACTGTCCCTGAGGCCTGTGTGACTGCAAAGGTAGACACTAGCGATAATCCTTAAGGAGAAAAGCAACCTTGAGGGAGGAGCTGTGAGGCCCAGCTGCTTGCCTGTGATCACCCTGTACTGCCTTCCTTGGAGGATCTATGTCTGATTTTTGGTAAGAATATAGCCAGGTTTCTTACACTTTGGCATAACTTTTTTTTTTTTTTAAGTCTAAGGAATTGTAGCATGGATTATAAATTAAGGGATTGGGTCCTCGAAATGCTGGCTCTTTTTGAAGACTCTACCAGGCACTATGCTAGATGCTGTCAGAAGCATCAGGTGATTTAATTCTTGAAACTACACTATGTAGATATTACATGTTACAGCTGGGAGAACAAACTCATAACTTCCCCCAAGATTATATAGCCAATTGGAAGCGAGACAATAGGCAAACTCAGGCCCAGCTGAATCCAGAGTCAACGCATTTCACCCACTGCACCCATCTCCTAGCCGATGCTCACATGAAGATTTCCGTCAGCTGTGTTTTTATTTTCTCTCTTCTGTTAACCAAACTACACATTCTCTACCTATAAGGTTTTGAAGATGAGACACCTCACAAACCATAACAGTAAACCCTCTTGATGCTTCCTTGTGCTTCAAGAGGTTTTCACACACGTGGAGGTTAACCTCTTGAAGCAGTTCTGTAAGCTTAATTTCAGCTTCATGAAAATAAAAATGAGATTTTCCAAATGTCTAGAAATAAAAAGATATTTATTCTCTACCTTGCCTGGTTCTTCTTCGATCTTTTTGGCAGGGCTTCCCTGATTGGGTACTTTTCTTTCTGTTTTATTATCTAAAATAAAAATGACATATCAGATCCATTTTGACTAGATAGAAAGTTCTGCATTAAAAGTAATAGGTAAGGAGCCGGTCCAGCGGCATAGCCACTGAGTTCATACACTCCACCTCAGTGGCCCGGGGTTTGCTGGTTCAGATCCTGGGCATGGACCTATGCACTGCTTATCAAGCCATGCTGTGGCAGGTGTCCCACATATAAACTAGAGGAAGATGGGCACAGATGTTAGCTCAAGGCCAATCTTCCTCAAAAAAATTAAAAAGTACTAGGTAATTTGGGAAAGAAAAAAAGGCAACAATACGAATCTATGCCTTAAAGGATTTTATGATTAAAAGTCATTTTAAAATATCCTATTTAAATACAATAAAAACAGATATAACTTCCTGCCAAGTATAGGATATCTGTTTTCAAAACAAAAGGCGCTAAAGTATTTTACCTTTTGCCTCTGACTACCAAATGCATATTTATTATAGAAAATCAGGAAAAGCAAAGCACAAAAACAGTGCAAAAAAATCACCCCAGAGGGGCTGGCCCCGCTGCGCCGTAATTAAGTTCACGCTTCTGCTTTGGCAGCCCAGGGCTCAGATCCCGGTGCGGACCCACCCACTGCTTGTCAAAACCATGCTGTGGCGGGTGTCCCACATATAAAGCAGAGGAAGATGGGCACGGATGATAGCTCCGAGCCACTCTTCCTCAGCAAGAAAGAGGAGGATTAGCGGCAGATGTTAGCTCAGGGCTAATCTTCCTCAAAAAATAAATAAATAAAAATCACTCAAGATGACCTTATTCAGAAATCATCACTGCTGACACTTCAGGGTATGCTTTTCCAGTTTTTTTCCTATGTTCACATATTCACATACATATTTTAGAGTTGTGATCATACTGTTCAGAATTTGACCTGTTTTCTTTGCCCACTTAATATATCCTGAACCATGTCATGAAGTGTCTTTCACAGGATTGTTCTTAAACGGTACACTGTATTCCACCAAACAAATGGGCTGTAATTTACTGGGACCATTAATCTTCACTTTGTGGCGCTGCCCACACCAATGCTCATACTTCACCGCCTGAGCGCCCACTGTGTGCTAAGTGGATGGTGGGGCACTGAACCTGTCTTCGGGACCTGGAATCTCCCGTTTCCTCCTCGCCTACTCAAAGAAGTACACGATGACTTTAAAAACTGAACACGAAAAACCTCAGGGGCCAGAGCATTCTACTTCAGCCACTGATGAAGGAACAGTTCTCACCACGCGCTGCTCGCGTGGCCAGTGCAGCGGAGGCTGCTCCCGCGGAGGCTGCACTGGTGGCGCCTGCTGCTAACACCCCTACCTGTTTTCTCGTTGGACACTTTCTTTTCAGAAGTTTGTCTTTGACCAGATTGAGTTGCTCGAACATCACTCCTATTAACGACTATTTAAAGGATTAGGTGCTACGTGATTTAATTGCTTAATGAATCAAATTACCACATTTTCAATCTGTATTTTGACCCCTCCTCTGAAATCTGACTATTGTAAATGACCCAGCAAAAAATCCACCACCCCAAATAATATGAGATGAACAAAGTTTTCCATTATATAGATTTCCTTACAAGCTTTTTGTAGAATCCTAGAATTTTGAAAATGCTAATAGCCTAAGCTATTCAAAATAGCTGACTATAATCTTCTGAGAGTCCTTAAACATAGCAGCATGTTTTCGCTTCAAAACTTCTGAATTTTGTCTGGAAAAGTCTTCTCCTGGATAGAAAACTCTTCCCACAGTGCACTCTCCAACTTCCTTGGAGACTTCATTCAAAACGCCACCGTCTCAGCGAGGCCCCATCAGAAGCCCACCCTGTACCAGCTTCAATACTCCCCATCTGCCTTCTCTTTTTTTTTTATTTCCCGCATAATACTTATGACCATCACATACTATATATTTTTCTTTTCATTGCCTATCTCACATGTAAGCTCCATGAAAACAGGGAATGTTGCTTTATTCATTACTATGTCCTAGAGCCTAGAGGAACATGGTAGTGACTCAATTTATTGAATAAATGAAACGGAGCCTTCTCACCTGATAAAGAGACATACTATTTCCCTCCTTGCCCACTTCACTTTATTTTAGTAATCGTCCTATTAACTTTGTCCATAATTGTGTTCTGAAGACCCGTAAGTTTATCCCCCACCCTACGTGCTTTATATCCCTATCTGCATTTTATAGTGACATGGATGCATAATAGAGCCCAGTAAACAAACAGAGAGACACACCGAGTTGGTATAGATCTCATAAGGGATGTTTGGCAATGAATATTTCAAGTGAGTACTTCCTTAGCATCTAGCCAAAACTGCTCTATGTCACCATACCAATAACAGGGAGTTTGGTACTGTTAACTCTAGTAAAATAATCACTATGATTGAAGCTGATAATAGATTTAAAATGAATTTACTTACTCTGAGAAAAGGAGCACGATTCATCATTTTAGTAACACTTATCTACTATCAACTACACGCTAGTCAGCTCCATTTGGGCTTTGGCCTTTGAACTGGCAATCCATACAAGATGGAACAGCATTAAAAGAGTCAAAAGAAGATAAAGTTAAAAAAAAATGAACTGCCATAATTTACTTCCATGTCTCATTACAAAATAAAGTTTCCATTTTAAAGTTAAATTTTACCCTTAGTCATCTAACCCTTAATCATTTATGGCAAAAAGATACTTGCCAAAAAGATACTTGCTAACTTAAATTACTCTCTTTTCTGGTTCTGGTTTGATTTAAATTATGCTTAAAAGCCTCAAACCTTACTCATATTTCTCAGTGAGGACAAAGGAGAAATTTCATACTATATTTTCCAGGTATTAGAATCCTTGTTAATATGATTAACTGGAAATATTTGGAAGGGGTCGATGAAGAGACTAGAGTATTAAGATCTCTTCTCTCCTGTTTATGAAAAGATACTGCACAGCTTACTTTCTTAGCTTTGGCAGTTTGCCTTCAAATCCAATGATTATGCACTTGTCCTCTGTCCATAAGACAATGGAGACCTGATCACAAAGCATGGAAGAAATCCAGCAAGACAAGGACTGATTAAAAGTGATACGATATTTATCAACTCTAAAATTGAAGCACAATCAGACTTCTCCTCTCGATTAGGAGCCACTTGCATTTCCAAATCTCAGGGAAGATCTAGTGCTGAAGAAATGAGGCACAAAGTAAACAATATTCAGCGATTGCTATTGTCTAAGTAGAATAAAAAACTACTGGTGAATCGTATCATTTAACACAACAATGTGTGTCTTTTCCCCCTACATATAACACTTTGTAAATAGCTGTTTACAGTTTAGACCAATGACTGGTGCCTTACATACTCTTGAGAAGCCAGATTAAGTTCAGCCCCTTCCAAGAGGTCTTCTCTGATGTTCCTCCAAACAGAAACAATCTCGTCCTCCTCTAACACATACACACCATATTTTTCTGTATCTTTCCACCTTGAGCTACATTCTACTAATTTTGGTCACTTCCACGTTATCCTAAGGTCATACGCAGAGTAATCAAAGGTCTCTCAAATAAATCAATGACATTCCTGAAGCAAACAAAAACAGGTGATATCTTGAGCTTTTACGTTATTCAATTCTTATTTAAATCAGGAATGAATACACAGCCAACAAGAGACTACCTTGAAAAGAGCACATTGAAAAGAGCAAATCACCAGTGACTACCTAATTTACAAATCCAGCTGCCTGTGTTCAAGCTTCATCTCTCTTGTCTCATGGATCATTCTCTTCTTTAGATCACCCCTCCTCCAGCTTCTGTCCTGTTTTAGCTCTCCTGCCACTCTGACCTATCACTGGTACCTGACTTCTGCCCACCTGAAGGTGCACTCTAGACCTCACGCTTTCACAATGTATGTATCTTTACAGGAGTGGTCTCATTTAGCCCTACAGCTTAAACCTCCATCCATACTCCCAATATCATACCCTAAATCCACATCTCAGCATGGATCTCCGTCCAGATTTTCAAATTTTTATTCCCAACTGCCTCTTATCCAGATGGCCCAAATGAGCTTAAAAAAAGCAGAAAAGCATTATCAATATGCACCCACTTAGGCATGTTCCTTTTCCTGCCTTCCACACCTCTTTCAGCAGCAGCACAATTTATATGGTTGCTCAAACTAATTTATCTTCAGAATCATCTTATCTCCGACTCTTCAATTTCCTTCACCCCTCGCCATCTACTTGGTCCCCATCAAATTTATCTCCTAAGATTTCTCACACCTATTTCTTCCGTTAAGCCCACTGCCCCAGTCCCCTTATCCTGTCTCACCTACTCTATCACGACAGTCTCACTACAGTCTTCCTACCTATAAGTTCTTCCCCTTCCAGACTACGATCTTCCAGGCCAGGGTAATCTTCCTGAATTATTCATCTGATCACGGTACAAGCTCGTGTATAAGCCTCTCTTGACTCTCTGCATCCGACAGGATGGACGCCAAATCCTTCGCATGGCCGTCACCGTCCAGCCCGGCTCTAACTGCTTTGCTGGTTTTATCCCATGTCAACCTACCAATGGCTACACCGAGAGACCTGATCTCCATCTTCTGAACTATTAGGATGTCATTCCCGGCTCCTGCCAACTAGCTAAGTGAATAAAGGGCTACAGGGAAAGGGTTATTTTAGTCATTCAAACTCTCAAAGAATCGCTTCTTGGCCTCTTGGCTAAGATCAAGTATAATCTCTGAAAGAAAAGTCTGGTTAAGAACTATTTCTGAATATCAAGTTATGATACTAAATTTACCTTTGTTGGTTGGTGTGCTGGTATTGAGGAAAGCATAATAGGCTTATCAGGTCTATAAACACCCACTATAAATGGTCATCGCTGAGGTTTCTCTCTTAATTGTTTAAGCCGCTTTTCCTCTAGGTATTTCTGGAGCATTTGTCTTCATTGATCACTTAGGAGAGACTTCACTGATTCTAAGCAGGGGGGAAAATAGCATATAAAACAGTCAAATAAAAAGTTATCCAAATGTCTAAAATACCATTGTCTAACCTAAACAGCTGCTAAGCAATATTTTCAGTAACTTCATATTGATTCCTTAGCAGTCTAGCCACACAAGTCATTTCAACCCCCATTCTTTTAAAATTTCTTTGCCTTTTGCCTTCTCTTGTTCACATATTTATTAACTGCTTGCCATGTACTAGGCATGCATTACTTCACTTTTAAATTAATTAACGTCTATGATCACCCACCTCCAAGCTGACCTCCAACAATTCTCACCTCCTGGTAATCACGCCCTTGTGTTGTCCCCTCCACATGGAATAGGACTGAGCTGTGTCACCAAGAAAAGTGTGGGAATGATGGAGTGTGGCGTCCAAGACTGGGTCATTAAAGACAGTGTAGCTTGGCCCTGCTCTCTCTCGGATCACTTGTGCTGGGGAAGTCAGTGGCCATGTGGAGCCTTAAGGAGACTCAAGCAGCCCTATGGAGATGCCACATGACGAAGAACTAAGGCCTCCTGCCAAAAGCCAGCATCCACTTGCCAGTCATGAGAGTGAGTCATCTTGGAAACAGCTCCTCCAGCCTCAGTCAAGCTTCAGAGGCATCCCTGGATGACACCTTGACTGCAACCTGCAGAACCACCCGGCTGAGCATCACCCAAATTCCTGACCCACAAAAATTGTGTGAAATAATAAATGCTTGTTGTTTTAAACCATTTAATTTTGGCGTAACTAACACAATTTTTCCTTTGAGATTAAGGCTAGTTGTCAGATTCCTTACCTCCCACCTATGATTCTCAACTCGGATTTCTACTATGTATTCTCATGTTGATTTAAACTTGTTTCAAAAATATGAGCAACTACTCTGTGCCAGACATTTTTAGGAAGGAAGAATAAGAGAATTTCTGCCCCTGAAGGGCTCACAGTATCGTGGGGGAGATGAGCGCAGTTTCAATTTGGTTTGGCATGGAATGAAGACTACGAGAATGCACAATCGAGAATCAGTATAAACCTGTCTGGGGAGGCCAGGAAAGGCTTGCCAGAAGAGAGAATAGCCGAGAAGGGTTCTGAAGAATGAGAGTGCGTTTGTCCACTGGGTGAGGGTTTAAAATAATCCGGGAGATGACTCCACAACTCAGTAAATTTACTAAAATAAAGGCATTTACTTAAATGGGTGAATTTTATGGTATGCAAATTCTACCTCAATAAAGTTGTTTAAAATAAACAATCCAGGCAGAGAACAGAAGATGCGAAAGCTCAGACGATGAAGTGGTTAATCTCAACAAAACTCCTATATCCTCAACTTCCCTGAAGTTCCTGTTCCCTTCATCTCTTGATCTAACCATAACCTGGCTCTCTCCTGAAGACAATGCTCTCCTAGTTGTCCTCTCAAGTGGTTGACTGTTTTCTTCTCCCACAAAGGTCATATCACTGGGCCTGAAGTGGGCCAGTGGAGGGCGGTCCCTCATTGCTGCTTCTCAATTATTTCTTCCTCTTCACTAAAACAGCCCAGCTTTATATTTCATGTCATCAGACCATACTAGACAGTACCCTGACTTGCCATCTGTAGATGGCAAGTTCTTCTCTCAGTCTTTTACAATTTAGTAAATGGTCACTACATTTTTTTAGTTGCTCAGGCCAAAACCCTTAGAACGATCCTGACTTTTCTTTATCAACCTACATCCACTCCATTAGGAAATCCTATTGGTTCAAACTCAAAATATATCCAGAATGAAACCACCCAGGGTTGCTGTTCCCACTGTGATCAACCAGAAGCTAAATTATTGCAATTGTCTCCTAGCTGGTCTCCCAGAGGCCATGCTCATCACCCTACGATCCATAGGTGATGCTTTAAAACCTAAATCAGATTGAGAGATGACATCACCAAGATGGTGGAGTGAGTAGTCTTCTTTGTCTCTCCCTCTTCGAATCTACAACTAATTGGACATTCATCAGTTAACAAAGGATATCCATATAGCATCTCAGGATGCCTGAGAGACCCATGCTGCTATACGTGAGAAGGCAGACGGACTTTCCCCCGGGGGGAGGTGGAGAAAGGTGAAAACTCTCCGACCCCCGACCCCCAGACAGCCTAGTACCTGCAAGTGGCTTTCTTCCAGCAGACTCCCCCATAGCATTGCTACGCACCAAGGGCGGGAGTGTGTGAGCACTGGCAGAGCAACGGTGAAAACAGGTGACTACAGCCCTAAGTTCCCCACGATTACACCTAAGCCCAGGGGGAAACTCCAGGGTCCTGCACCAGTGGCAGGGAAAGCCTCTACTCGCCATTAGCAGAGAGGCCCCACCCAGCATTCAGAATGCCGGGAGGCTCCCGGAGAGGAGGATCCCGGGCAGGGCAGCAGCCTGCCAGCCACCCCTGGACTCACGGACTCTGATTGTGTCCCAGAGCGGGCAAGAGGCACCCAGAGATCCCATGGGCATGGTCAGGGGCCGGGTGGAGCTCTAGGGGCCCAGCTCCACAGATCAGGGGGAAACTCCAGGGTACCTCACCAACAGCAGGGAAGGCCTCTACTAGGCATTAGCAGAGAGGCTCAGCCCAGCATTCAGAACGCTGAGAGGCTCCAGGAGAGGAGGATCCCAAGCAGGGCAGCAGCCTGCCAACTGCCTCTGACTCAAGGACTCCAGCTGTGTCCCAGCAGGGGCAAGGGACACCCAGAGATCCTGTGGGAGTGGCTGGGGGCTGGGTAGAGTCCCACAGCAGCCTCAGCAAAAACCTCTGCACAGCACTAGTGGAGAGGCCCCGACCGGCAATCACAAGGCTGAAAGGCCCTGGGGCAAAAGTAGCACAGCTGGGTGAGCTAACCACAGACTACAGAATATACCCATAGTTCTGCTGTGACCTATAGTGGACAAGTGAGATCTTGTGGGCTCTGACAGTGACAGAGCTGCAAATATAGGTGATCCTGCTCCCGGCTGCTGGGAAAGCCCATAACACCGCTGCAGACCCCAAGGAGGGAGCGCATCTAGGAGGTCTGTGACAGTAGGCACCAGCAGCCTGAGGCCCCCTCGCGACTGCCCCCACAGCTGATGAAGGACCCCACAGGACCACTGTGACTATGAGGAGGGGCCCAGGTCCAGTCAGCAACAGCTGACAGGGTTCCTGGTTGGTGCAGTCTAAACAGCTGCTACTCCCCCACATCAGTTGAAACAAGTGCAAGCAGTAACTAAACTCTATCTCTATGCAGAGGCACAAATCCAAGCCATCAAGCAGCATGAAAAAATATATTAAATCTCCAGAACAGAAGGAAAATGACAAGTACCCAGAAAACAATCCCAAAGACAATGAAATCTATAACCCAAATGACGATTAATTCAAAACAGCCATTGTTAAAAAACTCAATGAGTTAAAAGAGAATACAGATAGACAACTCAACGAGTTCAGGAGCTATGTCACAAAAGAGCTTGATACTATAAAGAAGAACCAATCAGAAATACTGGAGATGAAGAACACAATGGAGGAGATTAAGAAAAATCTGGACTCTCTGAACAGTAGGGTCAATAAAATGGAGGGCAGAATTAGCAGTTTGGAGGATAGGAATATAGAAATGCTGCAGACAGAGGAGGAGAGAGAACTAAGACTAAAAAGAAATGAAGAAACTCTCCAACAATTATCCAACTCTATTAGGAGACGCAACATAAGGATTATACGTATACCAGAGGGAGAAGAGAGGGAGAAGGGGACAGAAAGCCTGTTCAAAGAAATAATGGCTGAGAACTTTCCAAACCTGGAGAGAGAGATGGAACTTCAGGTGACAGAAGCAAATAGATCTCCAAACGTTATCAAGGTAAGAAGACCAACCCCAAGGCATATAGTAGTGAAGCTAGCAAAAGTCAACGACAAGGAGAAAATACTAAGGGCAGCCAGGCAGAAGAAAATAACCTACAAAGGAACCCCCATAAGACTAGCAGCAGATTTCTCAGCAGACACCTTACAGGCTAGAAGAGAGTGGAATGATATATTCAAAACTCTGAAGGACAAAAACCTGCAGCCAAGAATACTCTACTGGGAGAAAATATCCTTCAAATAAGATGGAGAAATAAAAACTTTCCCAGATAAACAAAAGTTAAGGGAGTTCATTGCCACAAGAACTCCTCTTCAAGAAATGCTCAGGAGACCCTCGTACCTGAAAAATCAAAAAAAGGAAGGGGTTACAAAACCCAGAGCAAAGGAGATAAGTAGAAGGACAGTAAAGGAAAGTAGCACCTCTCCATCAGCAGGTTAGGGTTAGCAAAAGTTAAATAAAACATTAAAGATAAAAGGAAGGGAAACACCAAGAATAAATATAATCCTGTCATTCTAACCACAAACTCACAACACAAGAAGGAAGAGGGGAAAAAATCTGACAATAACAACCTAGAAGGGGAAGAGAAAAGGGATGGAACATTTTAATTTAAGGAAATAAGAGGCTATCAGAAAATGGACTATCTCATCTATGAGATGTTTTATACAAACTGCCTGGTAACCACTAAACAAATAACAAGAATAAAGACACAAATTACAAATAAGAAGAAAGCCAATACAGAAATTTACCTACCTGAATTAGTAATCCAAAAATATGGGACGAGAAACAAAGGAAATGCAAGAGAACCAGAAAACAAGTGATAAAATGGCAGCAGTAGGCCCCCACATTTCAATAATCACTCTAAATGTAAATGGATTGAACTCTCCAATCAAAAGACACAGAGCGGCAGGATGGATCAAAGAACAAGACCCAACAATATGCTGCCTCCAGGAAACACACCTCAGCCCCAAAGACAAACACAGACTCAGAGCGAAGGGATGGAAGACAATACTCCAAGCTAATAATGAACAAAAGAAAGCAGGTGTCACCATATTTATATCAGACAAAGTAGACTTCAAACCAAAACAGATAAAGAAAGACAAAGAGGGACAGTATATAATGATAAAAGGAACACCCACCAAGATGACATGACACTTATATATATATACGCACCCAACACAGGAGCACCAAAATTTGTAAAGCAACTCTAACAGAACTAAAAGGAGACATCAACAACAATACAATATTAGTAGGAGACCTCAACACCCCATTAACACCAATGGATAGAACATCCAGACAGAAAATCAACAAGGAAATTATAGAATTAAATGAAAAATTAGACCAGATGGACTTAATAGATATATATAGAACACTTCATCCAAAAACAGCAGGTTACACATTCTTCTCAAGTGTGCATGGAATATTCTCAAGGATAGACCATATCTTGGGAAACAAAGCAAGCATCAATAAATTCAAGAGGGTTGAAATAATGTCGAGCATCTTTTCTGATCATAATGCTATGAAACTAGAAATTAACTACAAGAATAAAGCTGGGAAAGGGGCAAAAATGTGGAGACTAAAAAACATGCTACTGAACAAACAATGGATTATTGAAGAAATCAAATAGTATCTGTAGACAAATGGAAATGAAAACATGCCTTACCAACTCACTTGGGATGCAGCAAAAGCAGTCCTAAGAGGGAAATTCATTGCAATACATGCTGACCTCAAAAAACAAGAAAAATCTCACATAAGCAACCTGAAATGACACCTAATAGAATTAGAAAAAGAAGACAAAGCCCAAAGTCAATAGAAGGAGGGAAATAATAAAAATTAGAGCAGAAATAAATGATATTGAAACAAAACAGACAGTAGAAAGGATCAATGAAACAAAGAGTTGGTTCTTCAAAAAAATTAACAAAATCAACAAACCTTAGCCAGACTCACTAAGA